TCTCTCTCTCTCTCTCTCTCTTTTTTTTTTTTTCCCTCGTCACCCGACTGTTTTGGCTCTCCAAATAAGTTCCTCTGGATCTACCCCTGCCTCGTTTGCCTTCAATTTTACCAATTGGAGCTGTAAATGCTGAAGACCTCTATATTTATTCAAGTGTCCCAGACACTGCATGTGTCTCTTCCTATTGTTGTTTTTATCAGCGAGCGGCCCACAAGAGCTTCTTGCTTCAAGTGCTGTTTCATTTGATTTCTTTTCCTCCAAAGAAATTCCAAACAGTCTCCGAAAAAAAAAAAACACGTTTCTGTTGCTTCTATCTTATCGTAACTATCTTTGGTAATAGCCCAGCATTCACAGCCGTATTGAAGTGTTGACCACAAAGCTCTCAGAACTTTTATTGTCGTGGTTACTGAGGTGTTTCTTTTTTTATATTTCTTAGATAAGATCATAATTTTTAGACGTGGGCTAATATTATCGAAACTTTCTACAGCCATTGCAATTCTTCGTTTTATAACTGTGGAACATTTAGCAACAGTTGTCATTAATACACCATAGATGTTTAAACTGCTGAACTCGTTTAATCCCCCCCCCCCTTTCCTTATGAGAAGGATGCCACTGTTGTTAGAAAGAAGACAGTTTTGTCACGGGTTTTTTCTGGGCTGCTGTGCTGCGTCTCTGATCCTCCAGGCCTCACAATTGTTCTAATCGTTCATCAAGTTGACGAAGTTGAGCAAGGTGGTGATGCGTGGTTTCACACCCAGGTGGTTTATATCAGAAAAGTCTCTAAAGATATTGACGAGCTTCGTACGTGCGACAGCTGACTTCTGTCGACCTGGTGTTGAAGATGTAAGCGAAGACCAAAAGCTGACGAGCCCTTCAGGTGGGAAGGTGAGCCCACCAGCATCCTGCATTACTTCCCCTGCCCCTGGTGATACATGTAATTAGAGTGGGTAGTTGGCGGGTGTTCTGGTGCGGTTTGCTCCTTGTTTCCTATGAAACATCTACCATCCTTATCTCCCCTTCTTCTTTTTTATGTTTGTTACTCTCTTGTAACACCTCTAATCTTCTGGCACTCATATGACCGTATGCAGTCGCGAGTGCCGTGAAACCTCTACTAAAACTAAATGTAATTATAGTGTCCAACAAGACGGTGGGATCAGGCGCTCGTCAATTTTAGGGTATATTATTGAGTTACTGGTATGATCTTAAATCGCGTTCATTTGTCTTACGTTTGATGGAAAAATACTATCCATCTTGAATAGAAGTCGAGGTATTTGCAATTGAAGGAGGTTGTGGTCGCTTAGCCAAGATTTGGTGACTTCCAAAGCTTGAGTGTCCTTGGAAACTAAATATGTACATTTTTTGTGCCCTTGATCCACGACTTTCAGCAAAATCTATACAGAAATGTGTTTTTTAAGTGCAGAGAAAAGCGTTGAGTGTTGAGACAAAAAAAAAAAATGACCAGATTTGCCCACCAAGGGGAAGTAATGCCTGTGTCGTCGATTTCATTATTTTGACGAGCGCCAGATTTCACCACGTTGCCACACAAAATAGATTACATCTTGATCCGGCTGACCATGAATCACGTCTGGTTGCTGTCTAAAAGACTACCTTTGTCAG